GGGAAACCTGTGGGAAAACAAAGAATATCAATAATCACACATACTTACATCTGGCAATAATGTTTTTTGGGGGAAAAAAAAATCAGTACAGCAGCTTGTTGCCTTTGAAACTTAATGCCATTAAAATGTTCAACATGAAGTTTCTATTTTTAAAATAGCAGTTGAAAGAAATGCACGAGATTAATAAGAAGCTAAATTGAAACCATGTTGGTTCGTAGGTAACACAGACAAACACCGAGTTAATGGGGAGGGCTGTGCGTGCGCTCCAGTTTGGACACTGCTTGTTTGTTTTTTATTTTGTCTTTCTTAGAAAGCAGAAGGGGGTAGAAATGCCAGCCTGTTAAATCTTTTATTTCCTTTTCCAGGCTGTTGTTCAGTTGAGTTTATTAAGCTTTTTGAAGCTGCACTTCAGCTGACAACTTAAGACACTGTCTACCACCCCAATACACAGGGAGTCTGTAATATAAACTGTTTTACATCAGAAGTGGACAACAGGTCTGTCCATGGAACACCTTAAAGACAAACAAGGAGATGTGAAGCAGTCATTTAGGAAGTGATGAAAAGGAGATTTGAGGACTGAGCTGTTTACCTGGAAGGCAGAAGCCATCTGACACAAGTGTCCAGGAAAGCTGTAGGTCTTCCTCTCTATTGGTTGGGCTGGATGAACTCAAGTTCTTGATACGAGATTAAAAAAGAAGTTTGAGCAGGGAAGTGGAGTGTTGTTAGGTTGGAACATGGAGAAGAGCTTTGGTTTCACTGGCACTGTGACCATTTACAGGATGTCAAAATCAGGCCCACTGACTACAGTGGATTTTGGATGATCCATGTCAGCAGCAGAATTATCCCATATGGCTTTTATTTTCTCTCAGATTATTATTATTTCTTTTTAAAATCTCAAGGCTGTGTGGCAATAGTAGAAGAATGAGCACTGGAGGACCTTGTCAGTAGCCCGAAGGAGAATATGTAGATAGTTGTTTGGTTCATGGATTGTTGGCAGAAGCGGTGGATGTTACCAGCAGACACTGCATGGATATGCATATGGAATAACCTACTATAAATAAACGGCACAGAACATCCAGCCTATATTTACATAAGGGAGATGTTTGTAAAATATGAAAGTAATCAATGTAGAAAAGAACTAGGAACTTGTTGGAAGTGAAGGACAAGACAAAGCCGGGGCAGTTTCTGTCCCAAGGTGCTCTCAGTCAACTCCAGTGACAGCCTCAGTCTCCTTCCCTGCCAATATGACTCCCAGACGTGCTTCCCAAAACCAGGTGTCTGGCTATTGCTCTGAGGATGTTTGATTTTCAGCTGAACTCTGCACATCTCATAACAAGCTTTGGGTCTGTTTTGTGGTCGTGGTTTGTGTTTTATGAATACTTATTTCTTAGCTGATGGAGATTGGGATAGAGTCAGTGACAAGAACCTTGGGAAGGCCATGGATGTAGGGGAGAGATCTGCTGATGTTTAACAATAACACATGAAAATCTTTCCAGCTTTACTGTTATGATTACTCTGCTTTTATATATGAACAATTTACATGGGTTGCAAAACTTCAATAACTTAAGCTCTGCAAAACATCCACATCAATAAACAAAACACAGGTACACACTGCCCAATGGTAGCATTGCTAATAAATATTTTTTTCCTGGCCAGAGTTGTTCAGTATTAAAGAAAAACAAAGAAAAACCTGACAATTTTGAATGTTAGAGGAAGAAACCCCATTTTTTTCTCAATGGACAGATGCCCCATTTTCACAGATGCTGACCTGTTTACTCAAGCATTTTGGGGTCTTAGAGTGATTGTTTAGATGTTGTTGGTAGAATTGGTTGGAAACTAGAACTTTACTGAGATAAAATTCGAAGTTTCAAAATGAATTTGCACACCCCATCAGGGAATCAGGCACTCACTGAGGTCAGAGTGAGTTGGGCACTTGCTGTGAAGGGAATATTCTGAGAAGTTTTACTTTGGAAGCGTCAAAACATTTTGTTTCTGAAATTTGAAAATACGACGTTGGATAGCGGTGATTTTCTATTATCATATGGTACAGTATAGCAGTGTAATACTCACTAGGGTATAGCAGTATGCACACATGGTATATATTAACATTTGTTTTCGTGTAATGTATAAGTTGAAACAATGAAATACAGTGATACGGTGAGAATAAAACATATGAGTCAAGATTAACTTGGGGAGTTAAAACATTCAGCTGCAAAACAATTTAGTTTCATTAAAAAAAAGGTCTGTATTATGTAAAACTACTGCATCAAACTACTGCTAGCTTTCAACCAAGTTTCATTATTATAAGTGAAACCAGCGAAGCCCAACAATTTCCATTGTGGCAGCCTCTAATGTTGTTAAACCTTTATTATGCGTGCTGAAATCATCCACGCTGAGGGCGGCTGCAGGCTGGATTCCCTTGGAAATGACTGGCAGAAATGTTTCAGCAGTTTCTGAGGCTGAGCATGGGGAAGAATACATTATTTTACTTGCATTAAAATATGGGTGCTGTTTCAGAGAAAAGCATTAAAAAGGACACTGGGATGGACGTTTTGCCTCCCAAGTGCCTGCCCTGGTTTGGCCAAGGTGTGAATTTGTGTTGTGTTCACACTTTCTCTGTGTGGCTCAGCAGCTCTGTTGGCTCAAGGAGGGTTTGGTGGAACCAGAGGCTGGTGTCTCTTTTTTTATTTCACTTTTACTGTTCAGATACATAGGTGAGATTTGAAAGGAACAGTAGCTTCAGGTACCCTGTGTTCTTGATTGATCTCATTAGCTGATTATTCCTTTTTACTAAGGGGAAAGCCACTGATCTGCAGAAAAGTGAGTTTGGTATGTGGAACATATACTGCTCTTCTGCCTTCAACCTCAGGTCCACGTTTTAGGCAGGCCTCGGTGAGGCAATGCTCCCCTCCATGCCAAAGCAGAGCCCATGGGTGCCAGAGATCTAATCAGGTGGTGACACCAAGGACTGGCAGAGATGTTTGTGAACATGGAAAATGTAGTTCTCCTGGCTCTCCCAGCCAAGTGGCTGGCCAGGAGCGAGGTTTCAATTATAAGCAGGGCTAAAGTACGTTTGCATTAATGACAGATCTGTCAGGAGGAGTGCAGATACTCCAAGAATACATGCGATGGAATTATGCGTGTGTTGCTAATTCATTTGACATAGCTGCTTGCTTGAGTTCACTTAATTAAGATGGATAATCCCTGTTGGCTGGGATGGGGCATCACTGAACCCAAATTTCTGCTAGAAATGTAAGATTGTTGTGTGTCCTGGGCTGCTGGGTGTCAGGAGTCACCTCAGAGCGCTCAGCAGAGGTCTGTGAGGAAAGCGTGCACAACAAGCTGCAGATTGTCACTGCTAATGTGGGATGGGTTTAGCCACCACTGTCAGCTCGGCTCCTGTGCAAACCTTTAGGACCCATTTGTGGCTGATTTCTTGTTATTTTGGAACTGCAGCACTGCTGTTCCCTGCCTGGCTGCGGGTGCCTGGGCTTAGGTCTCTCTGTGAGGAGAGGAGAGGGGTGCCCTAGGCTGTGAGGAGAGGAGGGGGCTCCCTGAGGGCTCTGAGGAGAAGGGAGTCCCTGAGGGCTGTGAGAAGAGGGGGATCCCTGAGGGCTGTGAGGAGAAGAAGGGGCTCCCTGAAGACTGTGAGGGGAGGCTGGGGATACCCTGAGGGCTGAGAGGAGAGGAGGGGGCTCCCTGGGGGCCATGACAAGAAGAAGGGGTTCCCTGAAGCTGTGAGGAGAAGAGGGGGCTCCCTGAGTGCTGTGAGGACAGGAGGGGGCTCCCTGAGGGCTGTGAGGAGAGGAGGGGGCTCCCTGAGGGCTGTGAAGAGAAGAGGGGGATCCCTGAGGGCTGTGAAGAGAAGAGGGGGATCCCTGAAGTTGTGAGAAGAAGAGGGGGCTCCCTGAAGACTGTGAGGGGAGGCTGGGGCTGCCCTGAGGGCTGAGAGGAGAGGAGGGGCCTCCCTGAGGGCCATGAGGAGAAGAAGGGGTTCCCTGAGAGCTGTGAGGAGAAGAGGGGACTTCCTAAGGGCCGTGAGGAGACTAGGGATATCCCTGAAGCTCTGAGGAGAGGGGACTCCCTGAGGGCTGTGAGGGGAGGCTGGGGCTGCCCTGAGCACTGAGAGGAGGGGGCTCCCTGAGGGCTGTGAGGAGAAGAAGGGTATCCCTGAGTGCTGTGAGGAGAAAAGGGGACTCCCTGAGTGCCGTGATGAGAGGTTGGAGCTCCCTGAGGGCTGTGAAGAGAAGAGGAGGCTACATGAGGGCTGTGAGGTGAGGGAGGGGAGGCTACCCGGGGCTGCGAGGTGAGGAGGGGGTTCGCTGGGGGCTGTGAGGAGAGGAGGGTGCTCCCTGAGGGCTGTGAGGAGAGGAGGGCGCTCCCTGAGGGCTGTGAGGGGAAGAGGGCGCTCCCTGAGGGCTGTGAGGAGAGGAGGGGGCTGCCTGAGGGCTGTGAGGGGAGGCTGGGGCTGCCCCTGCCGTGCATGGGTGGTTCCAGAAGGTTCCAGCCGGCTCCAGCAGCCCCACCACAGGGCTCACCCATGTGCAGCATATGCATGGAGCTAACAGTATTTGAAATACTTTCAATGAATTCCTGCAATTTTTTTTAAGTTATTGAAATCTCCTTTTTCAAAAAGGTAATAATACTTTGTTTGTTCTATTTTTATTTGCCACTTTTACAATAATAGGCCTTAATAGGAAAATACCTGCTTGCGAATTCATTTTCTTGAAACCCACTTTGTTCCACCCAGAGTTTCTTGTGGGAATATCAGAGCCATTGAAGCACAAGCTCCTGTCTATAATAGCTGAAGGAAGGATGAGTTCAGTTCTCATTTGTTTGCAGTCTGTTTCCAAGTTTGCCCACATCAGGGCTTTCTCCTTTGGGCTTCTATATTGTCCCAATGGATCTTTCACTTCTGCCTGGGTTCTGCATGTGGTGTGGAATGTAACCTGGTGTCCAGGGCAGGCTGCTAATTACGGCTTTAATTTTATTGTGTTTAGGAGGAGACAGATAGCCAAGCTTTCCTTACCTGTGAGCATGGATCTGAAGAAAGGCACGATAGCAGATAAGATGCGCTGACAGACGGGACGGCCCCGATGGCAAATTGCCCATCAGGTGAGTAAAACCTACGACTGATGAGCCCCATGAAAGGATGATTGTTACTATAACCATACATGCAGATAAATAAAGCTATGGATCTACATATACATTACACACACACACACACACACACACACACACATATGCATTTGTTTCTATGTGGTGTTAACAGCATCCATTCCAAAAGGAGTTTAGAAAAGAGAAGAAAAGGTGTGTTTTATGTTATTCCTGTGTATACATTTTCTTACCTAATACATGCTTCAATTCCTTTGGGGGCTTCTTAAAGAAGTATCTAATGTATAAGCAGTGCAACTTAAAAGAAACCAAATGGAGTCTAAATAGTTTCTTACAATGCCTAAGTTTTGTGATGAGTAAAAACTTAGTAACTTGTGATACGTAAAAATTTGTGGCACAGAAATGACCTATTATTTTACAAGAAAGAAGCTATTATTTTACAGTAAGAAAATAAAAGCAAGGGTCTGCTTTTGGCTGTAAATACTGCAAAAAATCATTTTAATTTTGCAAATGGTAAGCTGTGGTTTTGTTAGTTGCAAATTGTTGCAGCTCCATAGCTTTGAAAGGGAAGCAGCTGATTTATATCAGTTGGAGATGTGTCTTTTTGTTCTTGATGTTTTATTCAGAATTCCTGGATCACAGTACATTGGAAATTGCTGTGGTAGACTTACCATAAATATTCAGGTTCTGTGGTGCATTACTCCTTGAATAATCCCATTAATTTCAGAGGCTTAGAAGTACTCAAGAGAACAGATTCCCCTGGAAAGGGGAAAAGCTGATCAGTCCTGAATTATGGTTATGGGGTGTGTTACCACAGCCTGCTTTCCAGTGTGGTGAGGAACTGAATCTCTGTAGCATCAGCTCTGTTCCTTGCACCAGCTGTGTTGGGTTCAATACAGCACCTCTTGGAATCCATAGGAGCCTTTCCACTGACTTCATCAGGCATTGGGTCTTCAGGGATCTCGCACGAGATCAAATGGCAGCTATTAATGTAGCCTGGCCTTCTTCCAGCTTTAGTCACTGCCTGTGGTGCTTATACAATCTGTTTGCTACATAATTTTCGCTCCTTTCATGAAAACGGAGAATGCCTCAGAGCCACGCTATGCCACTCGGTATTTTTGTTTGTTTATTGTCACTTACCTTTGCATTCAAAAGAGCTAAATGCAACAGCCATCTAGTTACTGACCCTTTCTTTATGTGTCTGTGTACACAAAGGCTGCTATTACATTTATATAAGCGACTAAAAGAATTACAAAAGCTCAAATCTATGTTCATGCTCTCTTAAAAATGCTCATTTTTAAAAATTGGGACAGATGTTTGGTGGTGTTTGAAGAACAAAATGCAAAACCTGGGACAGTTTTGGTGCTGATGGTGTTTCAGAAATGGAGCTGGTTGAAATATTTCCAATTTTAAGATGCTGTCAGCCTTTTTTAATATAAATTTTGGGCAAAGAAAAAAAATAATAAAGGAAATACCTGCAAAAATATTTCAGTTAAGTAGTTTGCACATTTCTGCACTCTGTTGAGAGCTGAAGAAGCTGAAGAGGAGGAACACAAGGAGCCCACCAAGTGTCACAGGCAGGTGAGTTTGGTGTTGTAGATGGCTCTCTGTTTTCTGCACTACGGATTGAAGAAGGCAAGAGGACCACTGTCCAAAGGTTGGTAGCTCTCATCACACCAGGAGTTTTCTCTCATTTCTCTCCATTTCCACCAGCAGTTTGTCCTTCTTGCTGTGTTTTTTTCCTCTGGATATTTGAACACGGAACAGGTGTTTCCCAGGAAGCCTGAGTGCTCACAGCTCTAATCACTGTCTCTGGCAAATGGATCCTTTGTGCTGTCTGGAGGATTAATAGAGGGTTAGGTGCTTAAAAAAATAAACAGTGACTGTAAACAGTGGGAAGGAGTAAAGCCTCGTGTGCTGAGAAGCGAGATGATGTCATTTATTTAGCAGAGGTGATACAGTAGCCAGAGGTGCCACAAGAGGAGCGTCTCCTTTGAAGGAAACAGGGAAGCACCCCATGGAGAACTGGTGCCCCCCCAGGCGTGAGGCAACCACAGCTTAGCTGTTGTGGCCAATGGAAAAATGTTGGGATTGAAGCCTTGGAGCTCAGGTGCAGTGCAAGGGAATAGGGGCTCATTGTTAAGGCAAGGATCAGCGCTCCTTTTTGTTCCTTCCCCTGCCCCCTCCTCCTCTGGCACTACAATAATAATATCTTGTCACTCCTAAGACTCGCTGGCATAGATCACATTCACTGATGGATGTTCAGTCAGGGGACGCACTAAAATGGTTTGTTTCTGATGATGTATGACTTTGTAGGCTCCTCTAATGGGAATGTAAATAAATGAACCCTTCAGCAGTGATTTCTTTCACTGCAGTCCAGTTTAACCTATGAGTGCCTCCCTGCCAGGAGCCACTCCAAATGCTTTACTATCTTACTTTGCTACAGCTTTTGCCTTTTTCTGGAGTTCCGTTTGCTGTTCAAGTGCATGTACTATATGTGGATGCAAGTAATTTTTTATAATGAGTATTCAGTAAAACAAGGCTGGAAAATTAGGATGGGCACTCAAGAAAGGTAAAGGTCTAATGTCCACTGATACAGATAAAAAGGTTTCTCCTGATCTCCCTGGGAACTCTAGAGGTGATGACAAGGCCTTGATATTCATTTCTTTTAAGCTGTGTGCAAGACCTGGTTCATGTGAGGTTGTGAATCATATAACTGGAACATTTTTTCTGTGGTCAGTTCTCACAGGTACATAAATACTACAGTGGTGCTTGTCCTCGAGACACTGGAACTCAAAAACATCTTCAGGAAATACTCAGAATGAGTATATTACAGTGATGAACAAAAAGAGCCTTTACAGAGAAGATAGGGTGTAATGTATTTATTTTCATGAGATTTTTTTCACTAGAATTGTATTAGAAGGAGAGTTTTGAAAGGGGAGTTAACATAGTTTTCACAGCTTTGTGAAGTGCTGATGCTTGAACAGTTTGCCTTCACCACTGGAAGTGCTATCTTCCATAATCCTGCATTTAAAGAACCATTTAATGACCACTGGCCAAATCCCATTTCTTCAAGTCCCCACTTACAGAGGCTTCCCCAGAGAAGCTCACACACCAGCAGTAAAGAGCTTCGGGTGAAGGTGGACATGGAATGTAAACTGGCCTAGTGCTGTCAGTGGCATTTCAGTTGTCATTTGGAAAAACTGCAAAACTGGTTGCGGTTTTCCCTCCATTTCCATAATCAGACAGATCAGTCATGGAATAGGAACTGCTTACACAGAGAGGGAATGCCACGTGGCTACAGAAATGCTCACCAAGCACAGAGCACTGTCTGATGTGATCTGTGTAACCTCCTGACAAGTTGGTGTGTTGGGACAACATTGTGTCATGTCACACATCTGCAGCAAAGACAATTAAAACCAGCCTCCTCCCCCTCAGCCTCTGCTATGTAGGAGATGCAAATGCCAGATTTTGCCAGGAGACCCAAATATTGACAGAGATCACCCCTTCCTGAAATGTTTTTGCTAATTCTTCTCAGTTCCATCTGCAGTTTTCAATGCAAATGTACTCACTGGGGGAGAAAATTCTCTTTTAAAATATGCTGTTTAGTTTTCAGCCTATGTGCTTACTGACCCTGCTAGTAAAGTTCTGTTTAAAAGCTGCATTCTAGAATGGGGAACACTGTCCCTCCATCCCTTCTCTTATACGTTCATTGTGGTGAAAATGTAACAACTTTATTGAATGGTTGGCTGTGAGGACACTGGAACAGAGCATCCAGTATCTCCATCATTCCCTCTTTATTTATGGTTACAGCACCAGATGTGAGTAAGGAGAAGGAGGGGGTGCAAAAGAGAGCTTGGAATGACTGTGATGAATAGTTGAAAGTGAACAGAGGGGCTTTTAAAACTCCTTTAAAGAAAGCCTAATGCTCTGCTTCCCTAAGCAGCAGGCTACTGATGATGGAAAAGTCACAGACATACCTGCAGAGATTTGGGAAGCTCTTGTTTCAGTAGGTCTTTATGGCAGCTAGAAGAAAAAAAATTCCTGTGCTCCTGCCAACTAGGTTGGAGTGTCCAGCTTGCTTTTCTTCTTTCCATTTTGTTCTGTGAGGACAGCATGCAATGACTTGGGCAGTGCTGAAATCCAGACTGTGTCTGTCCTTGGTCACCCCCACCAAGACCAGGCCCTACTTGTGTCTTGTACTTTTCCATACAGTATCAGGATGGAAATATTGTGAGTGATGTCATACAGAGAGAAGAATTTTGCTGGGAAAATAGTTATTTGTCATCAAGACTGTTAGCAGTGAGAATAAATTCAAATTTCATGTGGTCATAACCTTCCTTCCATCCAGGTGAGAAATAGAGAGGAGTTGGGCAGTGCCACCTCGAGGACTGCTGCTTCCTGGCTGCATTTCTGATTCTCATGGTGGCATCAAGTGCCAGGCTCTGAAATCTCTGAATCTTCTTTGCTTTATTAAAACCAAGTGGTGATATTTGCTTTGACAGGCATGATCTGTACTTCCCTAATGACACTCTTGATATCCAACAGTGTAAATCAGGGATGAAGCACTTTCTGTCCTCTTCCTAGACCACCCTGTTTTACAATCAACTTTTTAGAAAATTCTGCATTCATGCTAAAATGTAGAAAAATGCCCTCAAAGAGCTTCAGGTCTTGAGTTAGCAGAGTTTTTGTGTGGGTGAGCTGATTGCAGAGCAGGCCACACCTCTTCACACGGGTTTAGGAAATGGTAAAGCAAATAAGCGCAGCGGTGCCGAAATCAGAGCGATGGTTGATGGAGCCCCGATGGGGAGAACAGCCAAACAGCCTGAATGGAATGTAAGTATGGAAGTTAAAAATACACATCTCAAACCTTGAGGGCACCCTGGGGACTAAGAAGCCATATTGATACTAGACTTCAAAAGTTCCAAATAAACAGCAGGATTTTCTCAATGCACAGAAGTGCATACTTGTGATGTCAGAGCGATGTTATTTCTGCACTGCA